ATAAATGCATACAAATTATATTTAGAAACAAGTAGCCCAGAATTGTATGCATTTGCATATTTCATATTGTTATTTATAAAATTAAAAAGTATTTAGGTATACACAAACTTGAGTCTTAACCTAATGTGTTGGTATGCAAAGTTAAATGTTGCATATTTAGAATATTTTTAATTTTTATGCATATTTTACCATTTTTCTAAAATATAATGCATATTTATGAAAAAAAATAATAAGTTATCAATACTAATACTTAAGGCTATGTCCTATGTAAAACCTGCAAATGTGATAMGAAAAAATGTTGCTAAAAATTGATGTGCATTTTTATTTTAAAATTTATCCAAGTCTTCAGTAACTTTGAAATATTGTATAACAAAAATGTRCTATATTTGTTTTCGTTGATTTTTGTTCATGAGTTTTTATCTAAATGAGTAAATGTTCAAAATGCAACATACAATTGAATACATCATATAAAATACAATTAAATTTTGTTCCATACTAATTATTTAATGAACTATATACATTTTTTAATTAAAATGCGTTTTTGTTCATTTTGTTTATTTATGCAAATATGAATGCATATTCCATACATTATTTGTGCATATAATTCCGGGCCCTAGTCATAAGTAATTAAAGTTTAGAACTGAATAGTGAACCAATATTTTGAGAGAAGAAGTTATCACTCTTTTTTAGAAAATATAGTTTTATAATGATAAAACCATAATAAAAAAAATGTTTGAAAAACATCRATACTTTTAGAAATAATTAATGTCTACATAAAATGGATCACCTGGTATTTTGATTTCTAATTAAAATAAGAATATTAAAAATTATCAAAAGTTAGTGCAATATTAATTTTGTTATGCAATACTATAATAATATTTTATCATATTTTTTTTGTTTAAAAGATGTCACTATGATTAGTCGATTTGCTTTGGTTGAAAATAGCCATGGATCGCCAGAAGAAGCACAAACACTTTTTGAACATGTCCTAACATCCTATCCTTCACGYATTGATGTATGGAGTATTTATGTTGATATGTTGATAAAATCTAACAGAATTGATTTGGCTAGGTAAAAACACCTTAATTCTAACCAAGATATTTTACTACATAGTTTGTTTGATAATAATATAAAATTAATTTTTATGATTTTAGACATGCACTAGAAAGAGCAACAATACAAAAATTAGCACCAAAAAAGATGAAAAGTTTGTTTAATAAGTGGATGATRTTGGAAGGAAARCATGGGACATCTGAATCTGTGGATAAGGTTAAGGAATGTATGAATAACTATGTTGATTTGATTTTAAAAAATAAAAAATAATCTTGTACAGTTAGTAATAAAATCATTAATATTTTAAGAATTAATTATTATAATTGTTTTAAAAATTAAACATTTATCTCTCTGCCTATATTAGGAGTATGAGTTATGAGACACAAACAAAAATATTAACTATACTGCTCACAGCATAAATTTGAAAATTATATTTATTTTTTTTAAATGCATACATACAAATGAACGACATGAAGTAAATAAAAAAGTATATTTCATAGCTTTTATAATTGTCCACATTGTGATATGACAATAGGTATTTTTGGTTTGTTGTTGGGGCCAGTTGGGACATTTTCAATTTTTCTCATTACCAACAACCCATCAATGACACGACCAAATACTACGTGTTTTCCATCCAAAAAGTTGCAGTTTGCACAAGTGATAAAAAACTGACATCCATTTGTATCTACACCACTGTTTGCCTATTGTGAAAAAAATAGAAAATTAATTATATATATATTTAATATACAACTATAATATACACTTACCATTGATAATAGTCCAGGTGCATCATGGTTAAGTTTAAAATTTTCATCAGAAAATGTATCTGCTCCATATATACTCATAACCCCAGTACCATCACCCTAATAGAAAAACAATTGAGAATTGTTATAGGTACAGAAAATTGATTTGTTCAAATTACGTATTAATTATTWGGAAATTGAAACTTACATTTACAAAATCACCACCTTGTATCATGAAATCTTTAATTATTCGATGAAAACAACATCCTTTGTACCCAAATGGAATTCCATCCTTTTTGTGTTCACCAGTACAAAATTGACGAAAATTTTCACTAGTCTTAGGCACAATATCAGCATACAATTCCATTATTAATCTACCGATTTCCTGTAAACAGCATCAATTAATTTTAATGTAAAACTTTAAACTTAGTAGGTATGTAAATACATACTAAAAAACTTTTATAAAATTAGAAATTTATAGAAATCACATGATTCAATGTAATTCTTATAAATTTTGATCATTTATATCATTGTTAACAATTTATTCATAATTGAGATGGAATATAAGAACAGAATTTAAAAATAATAAAAGATAAACATTTAATAGAAGGTTAGTAGTGATGTAGTGCTAGCTTTCTGTTGTATTGTTTATCCATTTTTAAAACTACAAGAAATTTTATTTACATAAAAGTTTAAAATTGTTCTTTTAAAATAAAGAATAAAAAGTGTGTCTTGAAGGATTCAAAGTTCAGTACTTTTTTAATCAAAATAGAAAGTTTACAATTTGTAGTATAGTATGTACAATAAACAAATAGAATAATATGATGGAGAATATTTACAATGATACTATATATATATATATATATTTATGAAGAAGGAGACCGTCTAAAGACAGAACCTTCAAGCAGCATTATGGTTAGGAATTTATTAAATCCCTGCACCAGCGCCTTTTCAGCCGTCGAATGGGGTTATTTAGTAGGTTGGCCCCACCTTTAATAGTTGTAAGAGGGTTGGTGTGGGTGGCTAGTTTAGAGTGAAATTTTTTATAATGGATGGATACAACTGTGGTAATAGTTTTAATTTTGAAGTCAATGTGGAGTGAATTGTTAGTTAAATACCAGGTTGGAGAAGTTAGTAAATGGGGAGAAATTATTTGAATTGCTTTAATTTGCAAAAGTTATATGAAATGTGCATGCGAGCAGAGGCRGAACTAGGATTTTTTATGCCTGGCTAAAATTCACAAATTACGTCCTAATATAGACCAAGACTGAAATACCCTTTCTTACAATTGTTTCTAATAATTAACAATCAGATATACCAATTGACTTTTAAACACATAAGTCATAATAAGCAATACATTTTAAAATGTCATGTGAGTAGGGAAATACTYGTAGAATCTTACTACTTATTTTACAATTCACCAAGTTTAGGTTAGGGAAAAATGCAAAATTATGATAATTTATTTGATAAAACAGTGTTGCATGCGAAGAAAGTGTTTATTTAT